ACGGTGGGAAGAGTGGCGTGGAAGGATCGCTCGCGCCGAATCCTCGGCAAGGGGGTGGTGGCGTGCTGGGCCGAAGCGGGGGAACAATTGCGGCGCGCGGTGAACAAATACAGAACACAGAGAGGCAAGAGATTAGAGATCGTTTGAGGAGATCGGGCGAATCCCGAATTCTGAGCAATGTTATTCGAGTTAAAAGTTCCAGCTCCCCCTCTCCCCCCTGTACCTTGTCCACCAACTTGTCGCTCTCCAATCTGGCCAATTGCTCGGCCCGTACCAAGAGAGACTCCGTTTGAAGATCGATACCCATTTCCTCGGTTATCTCGTCCATTTGCATCGCTTTACCCAACCGGTCCAAGAACGTGACGAACTGGAAAAACGAGCAATTTTCAGAGAGAAAAAATTTTTTGTTGGGAAGAGATACGTGTATATTTTTATTTATTATTTATTTACCGTTTGCTTGTCCCTTCGAGAACGTTCCTTGGCCAGCTCGCAATCGGTCAACTGGGCCTCCATCTTTCGAACCTTCCCCTCCAATTCAGATCGTTCGGCATCCGTGTTTCGCATCTTGGCCACCGTCGCCTCGATCAATTCGCTCTGTCGAGTCGTCGATTCCGTAGCTGCGTTCACCTTGTCGCGAAGGTTTTGAATGGTCTGGGGAGGGAAGAGAGATTTTTCGTGACAGATTGTTGACAGAATAAGAGAAAAGGAAGAAGAAAGGGGGATAAAAGAATGAGAAATACAAGGGCCTGATCTTTGTTCTCGGCCAGGATCTCCCTCACGCGATCCTTAATGGCGTTTTCCTGCGACTCGATGAATCTGTTCGGCCCGCTGACCACCATCGCCAACGATTCCAAAAAGTGTCGAAACTCGGTCTGCAACCGCTGACACTTTTCTTCTCGCTGCGTCAAATCTTCTGTGAACGGGAACAGAAAGAATAAGGGGAGGGAGGAAGAAGTATTTGCATTTGTGTAATATTGGATTGGAAAGAAACTAGGTTTTTAAATTCAAATGCTCGAACAAAATTTTTATTAATCGAAATAAAGACAAATTGCGATCAATCAATGCAGAATTTTTGCCAGAAACGAGTTTTTTCGAATTCTTGAATAGGAAAATTGTTCGAACTTGCTTCTAATTGTCCATTATGTTTTCAACACCCTGAGAAATAGAAAAAATAAATTTAATAAAATAAAATTAAACATCACAACATTTTCAAAACAAAATGCAAAATTTAAAATTATATATATATAGAAAGTCAATGGAATTTAATTTAATCAAAAGTAACAATAAACCGTAAGAA